TTGAATTGCCTGACCTGTTCGATTTCTTCTCCAGAGACATATATCTTTGCGTTGGGGTAATCATTTCTACTTATAATCATTGTTTCTGTCTTCTTGATATTTATTTTCAAACCCCGAGCTCCACTTGCAAGAGTTCTATCATTTAAAAGGCATTGAAGATCTTCGATGTCTGCCACTGCTTCTGCGAAGTCTTTTTTACGTATAAATTGAACAGCATTGGAGACAGTATACAACCTTGTCTTACTCCTTTTTTCAAATAAATATTTGTATATTTGTTTAAATTTGTTTATTGGAATATTTGTACTGGTTTTATATGCTTGTTATAGATACGAATATTAATGTCGACATTTGGTGCACGTGTAATAACCATTACTTTTGTTTAATTTGTGTTTATATTTAGTCCCAAGCTACTTCCCCCTCTGGTTATCACATTCAAAAGTCGTTGTAAATTGTCAGCCCAATAATGACGGTGTCTTCTGCGTATCTTAAATTGATTACGTATTCTCCGTTAATTTTTATTCCTTGTTTAATATTTTCGAGGGCATTTTAAAAGATCTTTTTGGAATATATATTAAATAACAGTGGAGAAAGTACACAGCCCTGACGAACTCCTCTTTTTATTGGAAATTCTGCTGTCAGACGATTGTCTGACGCCATTATTGATCGACGCCATTTGATACCAATATAGTTTTTTAATAAGTGCTACAGTGTTATGGTCTATACCGTGTTGTGTTAGCGTTTCTATGAGTTCTGTGTGTTTTACTCGATTAAACGGTTTTTTGGAGTCGATAAAACAGAGAAACACGTTTTTTGATCTGATCTTCCTGATCTCGGCATTTTTGTAGTAATAACTGGAGGCCAAATAATGCCTCCCTTGTACCAAGCCCCATACGAAATCCAAATTGACTGTCACTCAGGTTTCTTTCGCATTCTCTGTATATTGATTGATGTATAATTTTGAGTAAAATTTTTAGAAAATGGCTAATTAGGCTAATTAATCTAAACTGTGAGCATCTATTTGCTTTATTTTTCTTGGGTGTAGGTATAAATGTTGATCTAAGCCAATCTTATGGGAAGATTCCAGTGGTATATTTTTGTTAAATAATATTGTTAACGTCTGAAGATTTTCTTCATTGATAAGCTTTATCATCTCTACGTATATTTCATCTGAACCTGAGGCTTTTCGTGGCTTTGCCGTATTGATTGTTTTTGTAACCTCCGATGTTAATATATCAAGTATTGTTTCTTGTACTATGTTTATTAATGGTTCTGTTCTCTTGTCATCAAACAGATCTTTAATGTATTTTTCCAACATATCTCACTATCAATTATTATGATAAGCTGTTAAAATAATTTCCCTACAAATCACCTGTACAAGATTCCTGAAAAGTAAAAGTTGTCGGGAAAGGTTTTTCGATAGATAAACGATATTTTGTTCCCAGGTTAAGCCTGCATCCAAGTGTACCCCAGAAACTTAGCCTCGGTTGCACATTGTGGCTAAGCAACGTTTCCAATACTAGTATTATTTCTTAAAGTAAAATTAACACTTTGTGATTTAGAGTTGTTCAAAGAGCGACGGTTAGGTAAAACAAATTTAATAATTGTTTTCACATATTTGGTAATCAAGTGTGTCGAATTCAGAAGGGTGATAGTTTACATAGAAAGTAGTGTCATCTGCAAATAAAACAGTGTTAAGTGTCTCATTAATGAGTACGCTAGATCATTATTATAGATAAGAAATAATATCGGACCCAAAACCGAGCCTTGAGGGACACCAAACATGAGAGATTATTTTTGAGAATCATACTGGTTCAAGTGAACATATTGACCATGATTTGATATATATGAATCAATTAGTTGAATAGCATCACTATGAAAATTATAATAAGGAAATTTTCTAAGTAGAATACTATATGTGACACAATCGAAAGCCTAAGATCTAAAAACGATACAAGAGTGTCAAGATATTTTTCAAACCCTTCCAAAATATTGCTAGTGAAATGATCAGTAGCTAAAGTTGTTATTTTATTTTTTTCGAAATCCGTACTGGTTTATGGCAAACAGTTTATTATATTCAAAATTTAGAATAATTTGATTTTTTTTAATTCTTTCATAAACTTGTGAGAAGATGAGCAACGAAGATATGGGTCGATAATTGTTGTAATCATCAATAGAGCCTTTATTCTGAAATAAATTTACCACCTGAATAGATTTGAAAACTTAAGGATAAGTATTACAATATAATGAGTGATTGGTTAAAGTTGTTCGATATTGAATTATATTTTTAATCGTTTTAATTTTTGTGTTAAATCGATCAGGATCTCTGCTGGTACTATTTTTTATTTCTGTCATAGCTAAGTCAACTTCACTACAGTTCACTGGCTGTGCAACACGAGATATTTTCCTGAGATATACACTTTAAATAATCATCAAGAGTTAGTTGAGAAGCCCCAATTTCATTTATTACTCCCTCAGCAGTTGAGCAGAAGTGGTTATTAAAACTATCTTCCTAAAGTTTAGAATTATTGTTTGAATATTTTTGATTTGTGTAGGATTTGTGTAGGTTGTATACATTGAACTTCAGGAAATGGCACAGCTAACATTTTATGTAAGTCATCAGGAGATATTTGCTGTTTAAGACGTGTGACATGCAGGGACACAAATTTTGGAACGGACTCCACCGATTTTTTTATATTATTTCCACCAATTATATATTGAAATCTACGTTTATGACAAATCTGAATCAACAATTCATCTCTCTTAATTTCACCATCTTATTCATCTAAATTTTGTATTTTTACTTTTTTTTTTGTTAATTTACAGCATCGTCGATATCGCGGCTAAACAACTTTCTTGTTATATATACAATTTTTATTATTATTTACAACTTGGTGGTTATCAGCTGTTTTAAATTGACTTTTAACCTCACCGGTAGCACAGAATAATAAACAATCAGAATGCCCACTCTTAGATGCCGCCTTTGAAGTTTTTCAGCACGCACGCCATGTTTTAAAAGGAAACACACAGGTTATGTGATTGTTTATATTTATGTTTAATTATATTATATTTATGTTATTATATTTAACAACGTTAATATAATTGTATAGTATGTCTATGATTGCCGTAAGTCAATTAAATCGGGTTAATTTTTCTATGCACACCATATAAACAACACTGGTTCCCCTTAAAACATGGCGGAACGTCTGCGCGAACGAGATGCGCGTACTTAATTTTCCATGGAGAGTGGGCATTCTGATTGTTTATTATTCTGTGCCGGTCGTGTCCGTAGTATCACTAATGACAGTCATGCCAGGTGAAGGGGATTTTGAATGACTGGGTTTTGCATCCACATCTGACACTTTCTTATTATTTTTTCAGCTACATTAACATTCGTTGGCCTTAAGCTTGGTTCGACGTCGAACTTAAATTGCCAACAAAGGTTTCGTCTAGCAGAGGAAAAGAGGAAACTGGTTGTTAACGTTTTTTACTCTATTATATTGGATTCATTTAATTTTTTCTTGGAGTTCAAGAATCATAAAATTTTTGTGATTAAGTATAATTTGTTTTACTAACAAAAGAGAACAACATATCCCAGTTAGTATAAATAGAAACCAAATACCTTATGCAAATACGGCAAAATATTTGGGTATGCCATTAGATTCCAAGCTACGTTGGAAAGCAAATATGGTAGTAGTTATACTTCTATACACGCGTTCGCCGTTACAAATTTATATGGGAGTCAATCTGCACAATCTTTACATTTAATGCTATAGATAAGAGAGCATTTTTGTGTATATTACATATATTTAATAAGATTAATGTGAGGTTTCTAAATATTTCAAAAATAAAAGGGGAAATTCATATTGGGATTCGAACTCACAAACACCAGCGTATGAACCAAATACGTAAAGGATTTGCCATTGTATTCTCGAGAGAGGAAGAGAAGAGAAAGAGAGAGAAAATATATCTTCTATCTCTCCCTTACTCATTATCTTACATATGTAATGGTTTTACAGATTCACTCCTATGCAAATTTCCAACGCCGACCGTGCGTATAGAAGTATAATTTCAAAAAAGGAGGACTTAGAAATTAAGTTCAGAAAGATGTACTGTTTGATGGGAAAAAAATCCACTCTGTCTACTTATAACAAATTGTTATTGTATAAGCAAGTCCTTAAACCGATATGGACATATAGGTTACAGCTATGGGGCTGTACAAATGAAAGTAACATCCAAATTATACAAAGATATCAGAATAAATTATTAAGGAACATCGTTAACGCTCCATGGTACTTCAGAAACTGTGATCTTCATCGAGACCTTCAGATGGATACGGTTATCCAGACAATAAAGTAAGTTTGCCGAGAGTCATGAAAAAAGGCTCTCCAAGGTGAATGTCGAGGCCATCAAACTCCTAGACAACGCCAACCAGATAAGAAGACTTAAGAGAACGAAGCCGTTTGAGTTAGTGTTATAAGTGAGTGAAAGTGAAAAAGCAGAGCAAAGTGCGGCTAAAGTGTACACGTTAGCTAGTAGTACTATAATGAATTAGAGCCTAAGGAATATTGCTGAATTTAACCTTAGATAAGTTTTTCGTAATATTTTGTATATAGAACTAACTTGCTTATTGATCATAATGACTGATCAGATCGCAATAATTATAAGATTCCCGTTGGAGTATTATTAAATAAAAAAAAAGTATAATTTGTATTCTACTTCCTTTTACATCTTCTTCATAAGACATCTTCTTCAATAATATTCACATCTTCGGTAATTACGCCTTCAGTACTAATCTCACTGTCAACCTTCAAATTTGAATCACAACAGATCATGCCATTATCAACCATTTTTACCTTATTCAGTATTTTAGCACAGCTGGGGTGAGCTAAATGTGGTTCTTCTAACTGTTCATTATTTCGAAAACAGTTTATTACGTAAAAATAAAATTACATCATATTTTAAATATATTAAATAATTTTTAACACAAAAATTTCGTCGACGCAAACTCATAATCAAAAACCATCCTAGTTGCGGTCCCTATAACAAAATATAAAATAAAATAAATTTATATCTTTTGGCCAAATTTGGCAACAATGCATTGATATAGAGAAATAATTATAAAAAACTAACAAAAAATAACTTTAACAAACTGAATTTTATGCATTGGAACATGTCATTATAGCATATTTGGCCTAATAGGCATATTTTCGTCAAAATAATTTGATTTTACTCTATGTTTCAACTGTTATTACTCACCCTGTATATTTGATCGTTTCTGAATATTTTTGCATACATTAATTTTTAGTTTTACTTTTTGATTTTGCGAACTTTGGCTGATACTTGTCGTTCTTCTCTAGCTTGGCAGCCATTTTGCTAACGAAGTATTCATACATAATTTGCCCATCTTTATTTGAATCTGCTGCTTTAATAAATGCATTTGCTTCTTCTTCGGTTAGTTTTTCTCCTATAAATAAATATATTAAACAGTGTTTTTACAATTTTCTGATGTATTGTTTATTTGGTTTCATGGTTTCACCAAGGTCCTACAAGACAGTGGATAACATAAGCAAAGATACCAAAGTAATTTCAAAGCTATATAGTAATATTCTGATACTACGGTCTAAATATATAATATAAAATTATCCATAAAAAACAAAAATTATAGTAATTGTAAAAGATATACGAATAAAACATTAAAAACTTTTTCCACATCCATTAAATTTATTATAATTTATTATTACTACAGCTGTTTCAGCATAGTACCTTTCTCAAGTGATCTATTTTTGGTATGTGTTTACACTTTATAGTCTTTAACTGAATAAGTTAAAGGTGAAGTACGTACGTAGAATCTGTTTTTTAATATTATTATTAGTTTATATATCTGTATAAACACAAAGCCCTTTTGTGTTTTGCTATTCGTTTGGTAAAGGTTCTACCACTTTGACCGATGTAAGTTTTTAAGCAGAAACCGTATTTAAGTTTGGATACACCACTATTCAAATGTTCAGTGTGTGAAACTGTGTGAAAATCGTTTTTTCGTCAATGTCAAGTATATGGGCTTCCATGCTAAATGCACTGCCTTTGTCGGTGAGCTGTTTGATTTTAAATGTATTGTTACTGCATGGACACCCCTTTTTGCAATCCATTTTATTCCTATTGTAATAAATATGTAAAAAAAACATTGCATTACCTTTATTTTGTGGATTTCGTGCATTCGCGTAGATTTTATGTGCAATATTTAGTCAACTAATGGCTCTATCGTTAATGCAGTTGCTACTGTTGGTTTTCGTGAAGGCCTAGCGTAAAGCTCTTTGTTCACTTAATATACTGATACAAAGATTCCTGGACGTCAATCAAGATATATACGCATGTTTTATTGACTATAGTAAAGATTCGATAAATTATGACATGAACAATTGATGAACGTCCTAAAATCAAAGAAGATTGACTACAACGACCTCAGGATCATATCAAATTTATAATATAAAGAGCAAGCAAAAGTATGTGTTAACAGACAGCTGTCAGAAAAAATTAAAATTAGACGTGGAGTGAGACAAGTATGCGTATTGTCGCCAATTCTTTTTAATACCTACTCCGAAGAGATCCTGAGAAAAGCTCTTGAGGGTGAAACAGCTGAAATAAAGGTAAATGGAATTCCCATTAACAACATGCACACGACACTGTGGTCTTAGCCAAAAATATTGAAGATCTTCAGAGACTGGTGACCAGAATAGCAGAGTATGGAAAAACATACGGCCTAACAATGAACGTCAAGATGACAAAATTTATAAGAATATCAAAAACTCAAAAAAATAACGAGTATCTTCTAATAAACGGAACTAACAAGTGGACAATATGCATATCTGGGAAAAATTATTAACTCCACAAATGATTACATTCAGGAGTTAAAAATCAGAATAGAAAAGGCTAGAGCAAATTAAAAAAAAAAAAATGAGAAGAATGCTATGTACAAGGGATTTAAAATGGGAACTACGAGTTAGGTTGACGACGTGCTATGTTTTTTCGACTTTGTTTTATAGAATGGAATCTTGGACATTGAATGCGACATCAATGAAAAAACTGGAATCATTCGAGCTGTGGGTGTATAGAAGAATACTGAAAATATCGTAGACAGAACACGTCACAAACAAAGAGGTTCTGAGAAGGATGAATAGAGAAATTTTAAATACAATTAAAACAAAAAATTGAAATATTTCGAGCATATTACATTTGGAGAGAAATACACCTTGCTTCAACTGATTATACAGAGAAAGATCCAAGGAAAAAGAAGCATAGGGAGGCGTAGAATGACATGGTAAATGGAAGCGTGTTCTATGATTAGTCAAGGTTCATGTAGCCCTTAAGCTGGACTTAATATTATAAGATGCAACATTATACGGTACCCTTTAATTTTATTGACAAACATATATAAAAACAAATATATTTCGACCGTACGTAGTGCAGTCAGTTGCGATGTTTAGACTTCAAAGGAAATTAAAAATAAATAACTTACCATAAGACATCATGTACTCTCTTAAGTCATCTGCCGGAATAATTCCTTTCTTAAGAGGATCAAATGCTCTAAAAGCTTCATTAATTCCCTCTGACGTTTTATCTTCTACATAATGCTTTTTTATTATTCCTAAAAACTCTACAAAATTTATCGTTCCTTTTTCACCAACATCTGCTTCATGAAACATTTCTTCTAGCTCAATTTCGTACTGAGTCTGTCCAAACACTCTCATTATTGTACAAAATTCTTTTAAGGTAATAGTTGCGTCATTGTCCCTATCAAAAAGGTCAAATGCTTCCTGGAATTCGTGAATTTGTTCTTCGGTTAAAAGTGACTTAGTATCTTCATCCTCAACTTCTTCCATTGGAGGAATTATAGGAAAATAACAAACAAACGATTAAAAAATTGTAAATAAAAATATAAATAATTAGACGTTCGCTACTTCTTCTTTCGCCTTTTGCTATGGCCTTTTCCCTTCCGGTACACAGCCAAATAATATTAGTTTTTGTAAAATTTATGATAGTTTGTCACTAAATTTTAATATTTATTAAATAAACCAGTTTTTTTTTAATTTAACGTTAAAAACATTGATCCAAATATTCGCAAAAAGTCTCCTTTCATCAACTATATCTTACTTTCTATCTAGAATATCTTATAAGTAATAAATCCAGTTCTTTTTTTTACAAGCTTCATTTTTGTTTACTAAAAACATAAATCCACTAAATAAAACGTACCTCAACAGTATACGTCATAGACTAGTCATAGTCCAGTTTTGTTTCGAACCCCTCACATGAAGACCAGTCTATATGAAAAGCTAAAAAAAGTTTAAAAGACCGAGAATAACAAATTCACCTTTAAGAAAAATAGATAAGACCTGGGCTTACACAAACGCAGAAAAAACAACAATATTCGCAGAGCATCTTGCAACTCTATTCGCAGCACCAGATACTAATAGCGATGAAGATGATGATATAAGAATGTACCTCGAAACTCCATGTCAACTATCTCTTCCTCTCACATTTACTCCGACAGAGGTTCGACAACAAACAAAAATGCTAAATCCTAAGAAAGCTCCTGGCTATAATTTGATAAAAGGGGAATAACTTCAGAAGCTACCGAGAAAAGCAGTGGTGCTATTAACAATACTATACAACAGCATACTACGTCTTCTGTACTTTTTAAGACAATGGAAATTAGAAAGGTTACTATTAGTTAAAATCGAGCAAGTTATTCCTATAAACGAAATTATATCACAACATCACGGATTTAGACGTGAACATTCAACCATCCAGCAATGCCATAGAATAGTAAATATAATTAAAACAACTCTCGAAGAGAAAAAGTTTTGCGCTGGAGTGTTTTTAGATATACAACAGGCATTTGACAAACTAAAATTACACCTAACAGACCAACTATACTTTATACTAATATCATATCTTACTGACCGTTACTTCCAAGTAAAAATTGAAGACAGCTACTCAAATTACCACATCATAAAATCTGGTGTACCTCAGGGTAGCCTTTTGGGCCCATTTCTGTATCTGATATTTACAGCAGACGTTCCAATCAGCAATGATACCTTCCCAGCTATATTTTCCGATGACACGATGGCAGTAGACATCGACCCTAATGTAGCATCACAAAAAGTACAAAATCATTTAGATCAATTACAAAATTGGCTTAAGCGATGGACGATCACTTTTTTTAACGTTTTCTAGCAGGTTCTTCGAAATAACTTCAGTCGTAGAAAGAATAATAATTTACATTGTCACATATCTGTACGTCTAGCTCTGTTCCATAGTGTCTTACCATTAATTTTTCGAAGGGTATTGATCTCTGTTTCTATTAATATTTTTGTTTTCTCAATGTCGAGTCTTTTTCTGCAGTTTATGTCATTATTAACTACAAACAATATGAACTACTAAAATTCCCGATAGTTTTTTAATTAATTTTTGATTAAACATGTACAACAAAACGGTTATTACTTCTTGTCTTGCGTACATGACGTCAAAAAATTTACAAAATCGTATACTATTATTTCATAAATTCAACTCAATACATTGCATTTTAGTGATTATTATATAAAGAAAAGAAGCGAATACGCATGTCTATATAAATGAATAATATAACTTGGTAAAATTTTACGTAATGTAGAAGACATTTTAAAGCTTTTTATAAATCTCAGTTTTACCATTATTTTTATAATTTAAGAATAATTTATATATCCAAAATTAGAATTTATTCCAAAGCTTGGAATATAAAGTCAATGTTTTCTTGTAAAAACGACCGTTTTAGCAGAAAATCTTCTTGATAGTCTCGTTCATTCCTCTAATTCCGTACCCCAGAGATCCCATTAGCCTCCCGGCATTGGCACGGTGGAAGCAATCAGAGATATGCCCGAAATGTACCGAAATTGCGTTCTCCCTCTGCCCCTCTTCCTCTTTTCGAAAGGCATTCCACCAACTATCCCGCTTGCCATCAAATCAAACTCCAGATTATTTCGGGAGATTTGATTGAATGTAACCCTCCGACATCCATCATGTTTAGTGAGCCACCGTACAACAGCTTCGAATGATCTGACTCCTGTTCCTCTAAATCCCGACGCCGGCATCGAAGTTGCTTCGGCGTCGGCCAGAAACAGCGGGGGACCAGCGGACAATCCCTCGGGATATCCCTTGGCTCTTAGAAATTCCTTATACTTCGTGTAAAGGAGAGATACGAAAAATTTAACGGTTCCTGTAACTGTTTGTTGATGCTTCCAAAGCTTTAGCTTTGTAATGATGATGTAATGATATGAAAAATAGAATAAGAAAAGCTATTAATAAAATAGACTTACAAATGTTGAGAAATCTGGCTCGGTTACTTAAATATCAGTTACAAACTTACATAGATGTTGAAGGTGTACATTTTGAACATTTACTTTAGACTTATTTCCTTAATATCACATTAAGTGTTACATTCATTATATATTATTATGGTTTATATTTTTTATTAGTTACTTATGGAGTAAAAATAATTTTGTTATATTATCACCCAATACTCAATACTTATTTCTACTTACAAAAATTGAAGGTATTTCCAAAATTTGAAAAAAACTAAAAATATCTCGGGAAATAATGAGTTGAGGTATAGGGAATGCTATATAAAAATAAAAGAGTATCCATGTACCATGTACACCATGTATACCAATTTAGTCAAGGATTTTAACTAAACTTAAATTAAACACTACAATATATTGTTGACCTTATTGTACAAAATAAATAATTGGTTATGCATTACTTCTTTATATACATAGTGTTGATTTCATAGGAATATCAAAAAAAAAATTGTTATAACTTATTAAATACTCTCTATAGTCATGCAAAACTCTATTATAGGAACAAGAATTATGACAGGAATATAAATATGAAAAAATATATAGGGTGTCCCATTTAAAAAATTCTATATTTGCTATACCATGTAGATATTAATTACCCTGTAGGATTCGACATATTTCGAAGTATGGAGAATATCATTGCTTGCATTTTTTTTAATATTAATTCTTTGGATACTATGTACTACAATGGAATTATCGACAGATGTCGCAGAAGATAAAATTACTTCAGAGATGCTAAAAATGGGAGGCACTGCATTAGAATAGGCAGAATTAGCTGCATTAGAAGAGGAAGAGCATTACTGAATAAATGCCTATTGGAAGGACAAATACCGAAGGTATGGAAAAATGCGGAAGTCATTCTACTCCATAAAACAGGGGACGCCGAAAATATATAGAAAACTACCGACCAATAAGCTTATTGTCACACCTTTACAAACTACTATCTAATCTCTATCTATCTAATTAGCCTTCTTCGGTCCATCTTTGGACATAGGCCTCCAAAATCCTTTTCCATTCTTCTCTGTCTGTCGCAACAGTCATCCATCTAGAGCCCACGTGCTTCTTGATATCATCTGCCCATCTCATTTGGGGCCTTCCTCTGCTTCGTTTATATTCCCACGGTCTCCAACTTATAAGAATTTTGTTCCATCGGTCTTCTTTTTGTCTTATATTGTGTCCGGCAAATCTCCATTTCAATTTTGCAACTTCTTGTCTAACATCCCTCACTTTTGTTTTCTCTCTTATCCACTCGTTTCTTTTCTTATCCATTAGTCTTATGTGCAACATTTGTCTTTCCATTGCTCTTTGGGTTTTTATGATTTTGTCCATGTTTGCTTTTGTAAATGTCCACGTTTGGAAGCCATACGTAAGAACAGGGAGTACGCATTGATTATATACTTTGGTCTTAAGATGCTGTGGATATCTTTTGTTTTTAAGAATGTAGCTTAGTTTGCCAAATGCCGCCATACAAACTACTAACCCGAATAATAACAAATAGATTGACAGCTAAACTAGATGCATACCAACCAGTGCAGCAAGCAGGCTTTCGTAAGGGTTTTAGCACTATCGATCACTTGCAAACAATCCGGACAGTTATTGAAAAAACAATAGAGTACAACATACCACTACATCTGGAATTTGTCGATTATCACAAAGCATTTGACAGTATCGAGAAATGGGCTTTCTTAACAGCATTGGACGACGCCAGAGTAGATTCAAGATATGCTGCTCTCCTTAAGAATATATACGATGATGCTACTTTTCACGTAAAAATAGATGATGATCTGGAAACTATGAAAATAGACCTTGACAAAGGTGTAAGACAGGGCGACACCATCTCACCCAAGTTATTTACTTTGGCATTAGAAAATGTTTTCAAAAAACTAAATTGGGCCGAAAATGGATTAAAAATGGATGGAGTATATCTTAATCATTTGCGTTTTGCAGACGACATACTACTAATAAGCACATATATCCAGAACTAAAATCAATGCTTCAAGATTTAAATCACAAATCGAATCAAATAGGATTGAAAATGAATCTCGACAAAACAAAAATATTAAGCAACAGCCTAGAAAACATCACGATAGATAACATCAATATATAAGAGGTACAACAATATATATATATATATATATATATATATATATATATATATATATATATTATTGTGATATTTAAAGTCTTGGTGCGCCAAGCAATTTATTCGCTAATTAATTGATTAATTAATTAAAATTATTTAAATGATATGATTATGACTCTATCACACTTTTTAATTCTCTTATCTCAGGGTTAAATTCGTGCTTCAATATCTATGCTATTACATGTGAAAGGTAAGGTCCAAAGAATACCGGAATAATAAAAAACACATATGATATAACACTATATATTGAAATAAAATATATGAAATAATTCACACTCAAATGTTTTCAATAAACAAAATCTCATATAATGATTCTCAGAATTTTGTTCTACGTACGTGAACCTTCAAAATTAATGGTACAAACAATATTAATTGAAATCTCAAAATCCCAAATTATTCTAACTCTCCTAATCAAATATTTATATCCTTTCTAAATT